ATGCCATATCATATTTAACTTTTTACTTTAACCTTTTTATTGGATGATAGACTTTTGAGTTGTTTCAAATGTTGACTATTATGAATAAGTCTGCTATAAAAAGATATAAATGTTTTATGCATGGATGTATATTTGCATTTCATTTGGTGATACATATACTAGGAAAGTATAGGATTCTTTTTTATTGCTGAAATAAGGTCCTCATTCATGGGACATGCTGGCCTTGAACCTCTTATATAGGCCAACATGATCTCCTCCTATGTCAGCTTTCCTGGTGCTGGATTATAGGAACACATCACCCTGTTCTTGCAAAGTTTATGTCTTGTCTTTTCTCTTTTTTTGAGATAGGGTCTCACTATGTAGCTCTAGCTTGCCTATAATTTGCTAGGTAGACCAGATTGGCCTCAAACTAACAGATTTTTTTTTTTGGTCTTTTTGAGACAGGGTCTCCCTGTAGCCCCAGATGGCCTGGAACTCACTATATAGACCAAGTTGGCTCTTGAACTCACAGAGATCTGCCTGCCTCTGCCTCCCAAGTTTTACCTGCCTTTGCATCCCAAAGGCATGTCCCACTACACTCTGCCATTTTTAAATTTTCTTTTATTCAAACAGAGACTCACTATGTTGTTCAGGCTATTCTGACACAAACATCTTCCTGCCTCAGCCTCCCAAGAACAGGATTATAGGTATGAGTCACAATGCCAAACTTGAATTGTAGATCATATGGTAATTTAATAGTCAATATCTCTCAGTATTGGCAAACTGAGTTCCAAATTCATTCAATTTTGTTTTGCTTTTTAATTTTGGACAGAGTCTTACTCTGTAGCCCTGTCTGCCCTGGAGTTCAATATGCAGCACAGTTTTCCTGCCTCATCTGAGTGCTTTGGGTTACAGGTATGACCTACCATGCTTGGCTCAAAGTGGCTGCACTTGTTAACACATTCTTATCAGCATGCATTACGCTTTCGGTTTTGTTTTGTTTTGTGTGTGCACGTGTGTTTGTGTGTTTTGCCTCACTCATCCACAAGTGCACTAAATAGTCACCCATCAGGGCTAGATGTGGTGGCACATCTATAATGCCAGCACCAGGAAGATAGGGCAAGAGGATTGCTACTAGTAAGAGGTCAGCATGTTCTATATTGTGAATTCTAAGTCAGCCTGAGCTATATAAACCATATCTTGTTTCAAAATGGCCTCCAAAACAAATCAATAACAACAAAAAACAAGGGTCTGAGGAATATAGCCCAGCAGTTAAGTTCACTGGCTGCTTTCCAGAGGACCCAGGGTTTTGTTTCCAGGACCCACAAGGTGGCTAACAACTCTAGTTCCAGGGCATCTGATGCCCTCTTCTGGCCACCCAGGGTTAGTATGCATCTGGTACACTACATACATATGGGCAAAATACTTGTGCACATGAAAAATAAACAGAAAATTAATTTTAAAAAGTATTAAAAACAAAAATACATGGTGACCCAGACCTATAATCTCAGCACTTGGTAGGCTGAGGTAGGAATATTGTAGTGAGTTATAAGCCAATTTGAGCTATAGAGTGATTTCCAGGTATACCTACATGGAGTCAGAACTTGCCTCATAACAGCAATAATCCACCCCCCTAAGTGAATTAAGCTCCTATCCCCACTCAATTGTCTTTCTGATTATTCATTACCCTATGTGGTAAGCCTTGGACTTTCCTATTGTAATGACTAATTGTAAATCTATTCACATGCTGAAATGATGGCCAATTTGTAAATCTTTTGTTGTGAGAATTGTTTATTCAAACCTTTTGACCATTTAAAAAAGAATAGAAATGTTTTGAGTGTGATTTCATTGCAAATTATGGATATCACACTTTTTCTGACACATAATTTCTCCCATCCTGTTTTGGTCTTTTCACTTTTTAAATAGTATCCTTAGAAGAAAAACCTCTTGTGTAACTGATAAAATCTAATTTACCTATTAATTTTGTTTGCTTGTATTTTATGGGTCATAATAATACAGGTTTGCAGATATGAACATTTTTATTTTCTTCTAAGTGACTTACATTTGAAATTCCTTAGGTATGATTAATGGTAATTTATTTATCCAATGTGATACAGGAGTCTCAGCTTTTGCAAATTCTCCACTGTCAATATTATTGAAAAATGGTTTTGTTCTAGATTACTGCACTTAATGCTCATATCCTAGAGATTGGTTTGGGGGTTAAGGGTATATATTGGAAGCAAGCAAATGATTGAGTATAGTAGTCTATTCATATAAAATTTACTGATAAGATGACCTTTGCGGTGTTTTTATTGTCATATTAAAGCATATTCTAACTGAAGGCCTTAAGGAGATGAGTGAGCCAAATATCCATTTTCTTTTTAGTGTCTGCAAGGTCCATTATGCCTTTTTTTTAGCAATTCAGTAATCCAAAGTCCTCTTCTTGTATTTGAGTCAGGGTTTCATGTAAACAAACCTCCTCTACTCTACCTGTTGTCCTAGAACTCACTATGTAGCCAAGTGTAGCATTGAACTCCTTCCTGATCCTCCTGCCTCATATTGTACCATACCAAGTTAAAAAAATCTCACTTATATTTTATTATTTTTTATGTGTACGTGTGTATTGCCTGCATGTAGGTAAGTGCACCCATGTAATGCACTGCCCATGGAGGATAGAAGAGGCTGTTGGAGGCCCTGGAACTGGAGTTATGCACAGTTGTTAGCTGCCATGTGAGTGCTGGGATTCGAACCCGGGTCTTCTGCAAGAATAACCAGTGCTCTTAACTGCTGAGCCATCTCTCCATCCCCCAAATATCACTTCTTAATGCAGTACAATAAATACTGACAAGGAGAGATTTTAGAATTCGAAGAGAGCAGACTAATTAGGGTCGAAGATAAGGACGAGAGGATAGATAATTATATTATGGGAAAATTAAATATACTTTAAGGCTTATGTTTTCATTGAAAAAGTATTTTCATGTTCACTGCAAAAACAAAATATAATATAAAAAAAGCAAAACAAGAAAAAATTATTCAAATAGTCACATACAATAGAAATTCCAGAAACATGACTCTAAATGTTCTGTTATATAATGTGCAGTATCTTGTAATAAGAATTACCCGGTATTAAAATTATTACAGATAATCTGAACAAGACATGGTTTTAAAAACAGTAAAAATAACAAATATGTATAATACAAACCCTTGCTTCCAGACAGAGTTCTGCTGAAACATGTTATAGTGTGACTAGTCTGTATTAGGACATTTCTGGAATATGAAAAATAAATCATTTGCCAAACTATTATATGTGATAAACATGTGTCCCCTCCTGTTTAAGCAAAATGCATAAGCAAAATTGGGTGCAAATTTTAAAAACTTGCCCAAAGTAACACATGTATCAGATATCAGAATTATAACTTAAATCTAAAGGTAATGAATTCAAAAGCATGGATTTCAGCACTATCCATAGTATTGTATATTCCTTATTATTTTTTTCCATGAGCGACTAAACACACCTCCATGGTACCTAGTCATAGTTATTTTTTATGTATTATTTTGCAATTTGTTTCTAATATACTAAATTTCTTTTAAAGCCACTATATATTTCTTTAAATTAATGAAGTTATAATTTTTAGATTAAAATTAATTGAATACTGATGCTTTATTTCAATGCTGGGTATAAACTCAGTGCCTCATTCATAATATGCAAGTGATTTACCAATGAACTATATCTACCATCCTGAGAGTTGACAAATTTTATAACATTTGACAAATAGTAAGATATGTGTATGAGCAATGTTGTATTTTTTGCTTATATTTTAATGAACTTCTTTAGCTGTTTGAAAAGACATACTAAACTATTAACAAAAAACCTGTAATTGATCTGTATCTTCATTCATGTTTGAATATAAGATATTTAGGAATTGAAATGTAGCTTAGGGAGGGACAAGGAAAGAAAATTAGCAATATAATACCCATTGGTCATTCCTACCCCCAAACCTTGGTTGTGGTCAACAAGAAAGATTAAAGGTATGCTAAACAGCATGTAAATGGATCTTCAGGATTCTGAGTTTTCTATACTTACCATTATCTTTTCCTAAGCTTCAAAAATACCTGCATATTGGAGTTAACAAAACACCTTACACCTGCAGGCAGGATATTAAGTTGAAAAGTTATGTAGATTTTTGTTTTTGTTGTTTGGGACTGGGTTTCCTTGGCATTAAACTTTATGCATTAAGCTTGTAAAAATTCTCCTTGTTTACCTGGAATTACAGGCTTGCTCTACCACGACTGGACTGAAAATTATATTTTTGTTTGTTTCCCAGCCATTATTCATTATTGATAACATTTAAACATATCCAAATTTAGTCAGCAAGAAAGATTCTGAGTTTTAGGGGAGTTTCCTACAAATCTTAAATCTATCTTGTTTTTGAAGCTAGTAGACAACTTTCCTAATTAAATGCTTTTTCGATTCTGTATTTAAGCTTGACTGCATTACGACTGGGGGAAAAACATTTTCACAACTGGTCACAAAAATAGAACAAACAGAAAAAGGGGGAAGTCCACCAAATTTACACAATGACGAACTTTAAAAAAGTCAAAGTTAATTTCTACCTGTAAGGTTGAACCATTTTTTTTTCTGATTTTTAAAATTTGTCAGTGTCATTATGTTGCCCATTCTAAGCTAGAAATCCTCGGAGTACTGGAATTGATGTAGCTTTTCAAAACACATACGGGTAAAAAAACAAAACAAAACAAAACAAAAACCCCAGTGTTTCTAAACCAAGGTCATTGGATCAGTTGGGCCTGCAATCACTAGGAAAGCAAGAATTCTTATTTTACATATGTTTAAAAATATGTAATTGTGTTCTCTAGCGCAGGTTTACAGGTATATATGAAATTGCTCGCTTAGGTCACTGTGGTAGGAACGCACAGGTTCAGGCCACCATCTCTCAAAGGTCATTGCGGTCGGAGGGGACGCAAAGACCCCTGCATTGCGGCAAAGTTGTGCGCATGCGCGGCCATCAGCTGTCAAGCATGCGCAAACTGTGGCTTAAGCTGCGCTGCTGCGGCTAGTCCTGCGCTAGAGGAGAAGTGGTTGGAGATGCCTGACGTTTAGTTCTGTGGAGCCATTTGCGACGCGATGGAGCGAGCAAGGTCAGCTGGGCTGGTCTCTTAGCCTAAAGGGTTCATTTTTTATTCCCCAAAGTAGTCCAGATTTGGAAGACTTGAGGTTTCGTACGAGCTGGAGCCCTTTGTTCTGGAGAAACAAGAAGCCCCTGTTGGCACATTCAGATCCCGAACCGCTGTTCCTCCCGTGCTGCGGCACTTGGCATTTGCCGGGTGTTGCCGCGGGAGGTGTTTTGCGGGAAGGTCTGAGATGGAGTCCGTGGGCTCTGGGTGTGGGAGGAGGTGCAGGGGTCCTGCGGGAAGGAATGCCCTGGGCTCGGCCCCCGGGGGTGGTTCCCTGGGTTGAGCGACGCTCGGCCGCCTGGGTTGCCGCGGTGGCTGCAAAGGCACCACGGAAGGTGCGTGTGTTCTGCAGCACTCCCGTGCACACGGACCTGCCCCGTGGAGGTTCAGCAGCTCGAAGGGATGGTCCACTGGCCGGGGTATGGCTGGCTGGGGTGTTCTTTGTAGTGACCGTGGTTTGGGGCCGCAGGGATACGTGACCTGAATGGGAACCCGCGGTCACGATACTCTGGTGGACGGTGGCAGCTGGGTATGAGAGGTGACAGGGCAGGGTGGAGGCTGTGCGGTCCAGGGCCTGGGCAGCTAGGGGCTGGCAGGGGGTCTGCAAAGGGAGGATCTGCCTGCCAGGCCTTAAAGGAATTAACAGTTTTCTGGGATCTTCTGTGGTGATAAGGTCTCACATTGTGCCTGTGCAGTATCATTTTATAGAATTGCCCCACACCAACAAAAAGTTGTGAATGCAGGCAGTATGTGGTTTTCTTGTGTATTTTGTCCTTTTCTGTAATTGAGCCCTCATTCCAGTGACTAATGTCTAAGATGAGAATTGGCATTCAAAAGTTGCTTTGACGCATCCCCTTAAAGATGGTAGAGGTAACAATACAATGTGTCTTTTTGTTTTCATTGTTTTCCTGGCTTTTGGAATCTAATATTTAAAAGCTTTTTTGGTATTGCCAAGGGGTCCTGTCCCTTGTCAAACGCCATTGTGAGGTTCCCTAAAGATGGCCGCTGCTGCAGAGGTGCTAGTATGCGCAGGCGCAGCACAATGCGGGTGCAGTAGCCCCCTGCCCACTATACTGCAGGTGGAAGGAGGTGTGTACGCATGTCAGTTCTGCGTCGTTTCAGCCACACCCTCGCCTAATGGAAGAGGGGTAAAGAACAGAGTCTGCCTATAATGAGTGGCTACCCCCTCCCCAAAGTGCTGCAGTGGGGAAGGCTTAGGGTAAGAAGATGAGTCGAGATGACACGTGCCTCTGTCTGCATTGAGGCCAGCAGAGGGTTGACTGAAGAACCGTGCAGTCCTTGCATAGAGAGGATGGCAGCCATCTCCTTAACCTGCTTCAGTAGCAGCCGCTGCTCTTTGCCCCTCCTTTTCCATTATGTCATGGGGAGACAGAAGGGAGGGGAAGGAGACCTGTTTGCGCAGGCTCCATCTCCCAGGCGTGCCCCCTTCTCCTCTGCTGCAGTGGATGGCGCAGGTGGAATAATGTGTGAAGGTCAGAGGTTTGCCCAACCTCTTCCTGTGTGACATAGCAGGTGTCCTCCACCCCATCTTTTTCATTCTGAAGTAGAATGGAGGAGTGACAGTGTAGACCCTAGGAAGCACAACCACCTATTTGTGCTGCTTACAACATTCTTTGTTACTGGGTAGATATTTTAAATTTGCATTTAATGTTAACTTAATTTTTATAGATTCCCAGTGTTGTTTTGCATGAAGTCGGCTTCTCCTTTTTTAAGGCAGGTTCATTATTTAGTTCCCTGTCGTTTCTGATTTTTAGTTCCCAGATCTAATAATTTGACAATTGCCTCACAATCAGTATTATCCATCTTAATCTCTTGATATTCCATTCTCGATCATGGTGATGATTTTGATAAACTGGGAGGTTGGAGTATTCCAACAGAGATAAGGGACATGCCATTATTGGACTCTTCTTAGTCTGTAGCAGCTGAAACTGTAAATTGTATTTTCTTAAAAAGGGAAGTAAAAACAGATCAAAACAAAAAGAAAGCTGAGGGTGTGCATGATGTCATAAGTATTAGCCTTGAGTCATTTTTGATTCATGTATTAAGTTAGTGATCCTCTAGCTGGGATTCCAGGGAAACCTTGACTCTGAAAAATCAAAATAATAAATTAAAAACAAAAATTTGAGACAGGATCTTGATATGTAGTCCATATTGACCTCAGACTTTACAAATATCCTAGGCAACAAGTCCTCAAGCTGGTGATCCTCTTCCTGCCTTCTGAGTTCTGGAATAACAGGTGTCAGCAACTGTGACTGGGTTTAAGTTTCTATTTTAAGTACTTTTCTTTCCAGGGTTTTATGTACTGTATTTCTTTTTTCCTTTCCATCTATGGTAGGTAGGATTGTCATTGTCCATTGGTTGTAATTAACAAAAGTAAATTTAGGAAGATCTCTAGGTTTTCTTCTAGAATTTTCTCTTGGATTAGGTTTTTTTAAAGACAGACTCTGGGGCCCCAAAATTGTAATCCTCATGCCTCAGCTCTCAAACTGCCCCTAGTTTGAAAAAGGCATACTTTTAAACTTTTGTATGTGATATTATATTTATTTTTGTTTCAATGTACTAAGATCCTGCTTCAAATGAAAAAAAAAACATTATCCTCATTAAAAAAAAAATCAAGTCAGACTTTGTAGTGCATGCCTCTAATCCTAGCACTCAGGAGGCATAGGCTAGGGGAATCTCTGTGAGATCAAGGCCAGCTTAGCTAGCAGCCTTAGTATGCATTCCAGACTAGCTTGAACTCCAGGGAAACCTTGACTCAAAAAACCAAAATAATAAATAAGTAAATAAATAAACAAATCACATTTAAGCTATAGGCTTCTAAATCTTCTGTATTTATTATTGTACACTTTTTTTGAGACAAGGTCTCCCTGTAGCCCTAGCTGTCCTGGAACTCAAGGCCAGGATGGCCTTGAACTTAACAGAGACCTGCCTTCTTCTGCCTCTCAAGTGATGGGACTACAGGCGTGCACCACCATGCTGGAATCTATTATTGTACTCTTATTACCTGACTATTCTTAAGAATTATTTAATGATTCTTTCTTAGTTTTTATTTTCAGACAGAATTTTGAGAATGTAGCCCAGGCTGATCTTGAAATAGACACCTTCCTGACTCAGTTTCCTAAATGCTGAGATTAGAGACAAGTGCTAGCACACATGGCTTTTTTGGTGATTTTGAGACAATTCTGGCCTTGAACTTACTGTGTAGCTCAAGGAGGCCTTGAACTGGTGGTACTTTTTCCTTCAGATTTTAGGAAGGATTCTTGACCTAAGCTAGTTCTAAATGCTGCCACCTCCAATTGACAAGGTCAGTGAAGTGTTTTTTGGTTTTGTTTTGTTTTAGTTTGAGACAGAGTCTCACTATATGAGGTCTCACTGGCTTGCCTGGAACTCTATGTAGAACAGGCTGGCCTTGACCTCACAGAGTTGCACCTGTCTCTGCCTCCCCAGTGCTGGGATTAAAGGTGTGACTCACCACATCTGGTCACAGTGAAGTTTTTAATTTTTGTTTCTTGTGTGAATGAGGACTATCTGTGGCCCTGTCTCTTCTACTTTTGTGACCCAGAGCCAGGAAGATTGAGTTAATTACTTTTAACACCCTGAAGCTATTGAAGTAGGACATGGAAGCTATCTTACTCATCTTAAAATATCTGAGTGTTAGCTTGCCCAGAATTGTTTTCCCACTAATTTTTTTGTCAGTTTGTTTTGGAGGAACTGACCTTTATGTCAGTGAGGCAAGTATACCCTGAAAGGATACCTTTAAAAACTTTCATTTCCTGAAATCTTCATTGTTTTTAATATAAAACTCAGTATTTTGTAAGAAATCTACCAGTTAGCTGGGTGTGGTGGCGCATGCCTTTATTCCCAGCACTTGGGAGGCAGTGGCAGGCGGATCTTTGTGAGTTCAAGGCCAGCCTGGTCTACAAAGGACAGCTGGGGCTACAGGGAGACCCTGTCTCAAAAAGACAAAAAAAAAATAAAAAAAAAGAAAAGAAAAAAGAAATCTACCAGTTAAGAGTAATGTTATTTGATGTCTTGCATTTTATTTCCAGAAAATAATTTGAAAGTGACAATGATTTACTTATCAAAATTTAATCAGTTGTAATTAAAATGTACAGGACTACATTTTTCCTTCACAGTTTGATTTTCCAGTTTTTGTGTTTGGGATGCACTTAGACAGTTTATAAAATGTTCTTTTGTATATAAGTAGGTTTGTATTTGGCAGAAACTTCAATAATTTCAAAATAAATTTCTTAGACTATATTCAGATATAAATTAGAAATATAAAATAGAAAAGATAGACTTTTTATGTAATTACTGTTTTCTTAGTCCTTTCCATACTGATGAACTCACAGAAAATGGTAAGAAACTGTCAATACTTTGTGTAGTTTCAGAATATTGTATTAGTTATAATTTGGTTGATGGACTATTTATTTTACTTAATTAACAGACTATTAAATTAAAAGTTGTGTCTGGTGGCACTTACCTATAATCCCATCCTGGTAGTTATGACACTAATGAGACACAGGCATTAGCATCAGGAATTCTAAGTCATCTTTGGCTACACAGCAGTTTTGAAGGCAGCTTGGGCTACGTGACAGACCTTGTCTCAAAATAGGATATCAAATTATTAAGTACATGGATCAAGACATTATTCCTTTGTATAATGAACTTGTTCTATCATGTGAAAAAATCATGCTTTGCTTTGTCCATCAGTTAATGGATATTTAAATTAATACTTTGACCATTATCAGTGATACTGCTAGGAGCTGTGTGAACCAGGTTAGTGTTTTACTCTAACTCCATCTCTGGAATAGAATTGTTGCTATAATAACGTCATGGTTGTTATTTTTACTGAGTGCCAGAAACTGTATAATTTTATATTTCTGCTGGTCTTGCTTTGCTTCATGCACCCACCCAATCTGGTGTCAGATGATATCTTACAGTGTTTCTGATTTTCAATTCTCTAATAAATAAAAATAGACTATGTATTTTGTGTGCTATTTGACCATTTATATATTTCTAGGAAAATGGTGTCCTCATTTTGGAAAATAAGATTTTTATTACTTATTTATGCTGTATGCAAAATGTAAAAATGATTTTGTTGAGGTATGATCATACCAAGCCAAATGCTGTATATTTAAATGTATATAAATTGGCATTAGGTTGTAAGTAAGCAATTTGAAAACATCACTGTTTTTGAAACAATCAGTGTTAAAATATATCTATTCCAAAAGCCCCAACACTTTTTTTTTTTCCTTTTGGATTGTTTAAGATTTGCTTTGGACTTTTCTTAAGAAAATTCTATAATCTGACAATATTTTGTCCTTTTCTTTTGGTTGTTTCACTTTGTTTTAGGAAACAGAACCCACTCTGTAGTCCAGGTTGTCTTCAAACTCACAATCTTCCTGCCTTAGTCTCCAAAACGCTGGTATTATAGGTATGTACCACCATGCCCATGCCGCTTAACTTTAGCATTCTTAAAGTTTAATACACTATTTCTTGGGCAGCTTGTAATTCAGTTGTCACTTGAGGGAATGTTGCCTAATCCAAAATAGCAGCATATAAGTATTGTTGTTTAGAGATCTTAACATGTATTTTTTTGATTAATTTCTGTGGATTCTTTTGAACATTTAAATTCTTCAACTGATAGTTATTTGAAAGATGCTTTAACAATCTAAAAATCTAACACTAGTTTTAAAGTGGGTAGGATTCAGAGGATTGGCTGCTTTCATGAATTTGTCAAGGCCATTTTCATTTGACCTTTTCTGGTTTTGTATTTCTAAATTTCAGCTTCATGAGTGATTGCTGCAGCTCCTAACATGGCTGCCCTCATCTGGTAATTTGATTTCAGTTTGCCAGACGGCCATTTTGTAAAGTGTTCTCAGATCTTAACATAGCGTTATCTTTTCTCATCATCTTGAGAGCTTTATATTTATTATTTACAAATTCTGGAAGAAAGCTACATTTGCATTTAAGTATTTTTAAACAAAAAATTTGTGGTTTAAATTTTGTCGCTTTATTTTGCTGTACAAATGGATGATTACAATCTAAAAATGGTTGCTCAAACCAGTTCTAGAATCAGGTTAGCTATTCTGGGTGGAGAGAGCAAAGTAGGTGTTTGTGCATGTCTGCATATGTGCATATTTTATGTATAGGTGTGTGTGATATACAATATCTGTATGTTTATGTATATTTCTGGGTATGATTGGAAATGAATATATTTTTACTTCATTTCCTGCTCTTTAAATACATACTTTCTGATGTGATGAGCTTCTAAAAGTATATTATGCTCAATGCACAGGTCCTTGTTGTTTGAGGTATGAAAATCTTAGTAATACCTTTTGTTTAAATTAGATTTTAGGTGCTTTTTAAATATATATTTGCTAAAATATAAATGTTCTAAATGATGCCTTTTTTCATTTTGCAAAATTTTATTTTACTATTGTATGTGTATATAGAGAGAGATGGGCAAAATCCCTCTCCTTCTACCTTCACATGGGTTTTATGGATCAAACTCAAATTATCAGATTGGCATCTTTAATTGGCAAGCACTTCAACTTTACCTAATAAACCATCTTCTAGGTCCTGTTTGTTTATTTGCCCAAAGGTCTCTTGTAGGCTTGGCCTGGCTTCAAACTTGCTATATATTTGAGAATGACCTTGATCTTCTGATTTATGGTCCTCCTGCCTCCATGGGATTATAGTTATATGCCACCAATGCCTGATTTATGAAGTGCTGGGGTCTAACCCAGGTCTTCTTTCCTAAGCAAGCTCTCTCTACTGATGGAATCACATTCTCTGTCTTACAGTATTTAAATAATTACATCGTTTAATAAACTGATGGAGTCTATTAAATGTATCTTCTTTTTGTTTCAGGGATCGCTTACACCTGAGAAGAACTACTGAGCAGCACGTGCCAGAGGTGGAAGTCCAGGTCAAACGTAGAAGGACAGCATCACTGAGCAACCAAGAGTAAGTAAAGTCTGGATTAAGAACCAATTCACAACAGAATACTGCTCTTTAGAAAAGTATCATACAGTGGAGGATTATAGTGAAATTAATTGAAGTAGCACATAATGTAGAATATGTAACAAAATAATGAGTCCTTAATTGTGTGGTCCTAATTTCTATATAATGGAATAATTGACTTTTCTCAGCACTGGATTATAGGAGTGTTGCTTCCTTTCTGTGGTGCTGGGAATTGAAATTGGGCCTTTATACATGCTAGACAAATTCTGCTTTTTATTCCTATGCATATATATGGGATTTTACTTTAGAATTCTATATTCATTGTGAATACTTATGTTCTGTTTTTTATGTTATTAAATAACTTGGTAATCTTGTAAAGTGTGTTTTTTTTAACATTGGGATATTAGTTTTTATATTTGCTCTTATATTACCCTCTAATATTTTGTCTTTAATGTTTGTTTTGTTTTGAGATAGGGTTTTATGTAGCCCAGACTGGCCTTGAATTCATTACATAGGTGTGGATGATCTTGAATTTCTGAGCATTCTCTCCCCATATTCCAAGTGGTGGTTTTCAGGTGTGCACTAACATACTTGGCTACTTTTAGGTTCTTTAGTATATCTTAACCACTTTAAAAGAAAAAAAAATATTTTCTATGTATTTTATGAGTATTACATGCACACATACAAATCACATAGCTATGCATTTAATGTCTGTAGGATGTTAGTTTTAAGGAATATAACCTATACAGTGAATATTAATATATAGAGCTACTTGCCAATTTATTCTCCTTCCCTAGAGATAGTCTCTACTTAAATTTGGTCTCTTATTCAGCCTTTTCCTGGTCATTCCCAGGGGTCCATGTTTGTGTTTAGGAGGGGAAGTGGGACATATAGTTGTGTATTTGATATGGTTGTAAGTACATGATGCTCACAGATATATTTTCTTGACAATATAATTTTGGGACCTCTCCAGATTGGTTACTAGTTTCACTTTCTCTAAAATATTTTTTTTTCAAAATTATAAACAGTAGGTAACACTTTATCTTATTTTTAATCATTGTACATGTAAATAATTGTCACAGATTTATATAATTTGAACTACTGATGGGGATAAGGATTTTTCTTATCACTATTTTAAATTCTTTTCTGAATTTTTTTTGTTTTGGAAGGAGTATTTCATAAATGTAAATATTTGTATTTCTGTAAATAGTTTATAGTACAGCTTGTCTTTATTGTAATTGCTTTTGCTGGTTCTGCATGGTTCTCTGCATTCTCTTTACTTCAGTTTTTATAGCTTCAAAGACTAGCAGTTACTTTCCAAAGATATTTTTAGGGCTTGTAGTAAGTGGTATGCATGTGGGATTCTATTAGGGAAGCATTTTGTAGTAGGAGATCTATCAAGTATTTTTTATTTATACAACAGTTAACTCATTGGATAATGGTTTGAAGGAACCTAAAGGATAATAAATTAAAATACAAGGTTAGCCTTCTGCTGGTGTCTCTTTTAAGGAGGATTATTTAAAATATGAGTCTTTGTATTTTCTTTTATATTGCTATCTAAGTAGATAAAATTCTTGCCATTTATAAATACTATGTTCTTGCCATAGGTGTCATCTGTACCCACGACGTTCTCAGCAGCAGCAGGTTCCTGTGGTGGATTTCCAGGCAGAACTGAGGCAGGCATTCTTAGCTGAGACACCAAGAGGTGGTTAAAGCAGTGTTGGAACACCCAGGTAGCTGATTTCAAGGAAAACAGGTTAGAGCTGTACCAAAATGATGAGATAAAAAAAGAATAGAGTATCTAGGGTTTAATTGATGCTACAGTCTTTTCTTAAAAACCTTATACACCCCAGCACAAGACATACAAAAAATTTTACACAATATCCATACTGAATAAAACTGAAAACAGAAGTATGACTTCAATATATCTGCCCTAACACATGTCATGTTTGCATATTTAGTTCATAATTTTTTATGCATTGCTTTTCAACTTTCTAAGAAATACTTCATTATAAAAAGGTATTGAGACTATTAGTAAATGTTTTATAATTCCCTTCTGTTAACTGCTTAACTTTTTCTGTTAGAAATTTATACTATACTGTATTTTACTACCCTCAAAAAATATTAATAGTTATCAGTACATTTTCCAGTAGAGAAGATTATTTTTATCAGTCAAAAAGCATAAAATGATAGTGTATGTATTTTCCCATTATAATTTATTAATTATTTTTTCATTGTTTTGTCTTTTTTCACTTTTCTGTTCTCATCAATGTATTTCTTCTTGGAATCAGTACATGATGTAATAAAGATATTATCCATAATATTTCCATTGTCATATAGATTTATTTAGACTGTCGTCTTGTAAGTAAAATTCTTTCAGAAATTGATGTAGTGCTTTGGTTTTCTTTGGCAGAAGATTCTCTTTGTTTTAAATAAACGTATTTTTGAAGTTTCCATGTAAGTATATATTATACATTGATCATATCCATTGGCCTTGAACTCACTCTGTGGCCAGGGATAGCCTAGGACTCCTAATCTTCCTACCTCTACAACCTCAGTGCTGATATTAGAGGCACATACCCACATGACATATTTTTTTTAATTTTAATTTTTTGGTAATTTCATTAATGTCTACAATGTATTTAAATCATATTTAGCCTTCCAACCCCCTTCAATGTCCCCTGAATTCCCCAAATCCCCCATTCAACATTATGTCCTCTTTTATTTTAATAACTCTGTTTATGTGTTGCTACCTGTATGCACATGAATGTAGGGCTATCCTCAGAAGCCTGGGCAACTTGCCATGGGCTCATCCCAAAAGAAAACTTGACTTTTCTTCTTTCAGCAGCCATCAACTGCCAGTAGCTCCTCAGCTAGGTATGGGGCCTCATAAACCCATCCTGTCAGCACCAGAATGTTGGCGGGGTAGATTCTGTGCAGCTGTCCATAGTGACTGTGAGTTCATGAGTATAACAGCCCTATCATGTCCACAAGACACTATTTCCCTGCAGTTCTCTGACCTCTGATTCTTACAGTCTTTCTGCCCCCCTCTTCTGTGATATTCCCTCAAACCTGTGAGGTAGATGGGTGATGTAATTGTCCCATTTAGGTCTAAGTACTCCACAGTCATTTATTCTCTGCATTTTGACTAGACATGAGTCTCCATACTAACTGGCTTCCACTACAAAACAGAGCTTTATGATGAGGGGTGAGAACGCAACTAACCTATGAGTATAATGTTAAGTATTTAAAAGAAATTTTGATTTATCTCAAAGCAAAATGCTAGTAGTAGGTTCATCCACAGGGCCTATGATTTTCCCCAGATAAGTGTTTACCGTACCAGATATGTGTTCCCTACTGGATAGGAGGTCTTTTTTAAATTTTTCTTTTTTAAAGAGATGTGGTCTCCCTACAGGAGCCCAAGCTGGCCTAGAACTTGCTGTGTAGACAAGAGACTAGGCTGGCTTCAGTCTCACAGCGAGTCACCTGCCTCTTCAAAGTGCTGGGATTAAAGCAGTACTACATCGTGCCCAACTTAAATTAATAGAAAAATTTATATGTGTGGGTGTTTTGTCTGTATATGTAAGTGCTCTCCACACATGCAGTTCCCAGAAAAGGGTATGAGTTCCTCTGGAACTAGAGATACAGAACAGCTGCCATCTAGGTGCTGGGATCTGAACCTGGGGACTCTGAAAGAACAACCAATTCTCTTTAACTCCTGAGCTGTTTTTCCAGCCTTAATTAAATATTTATTATGTATTTTTATTTTTATTTATTTTATTTATTTTTGTCTTTTTGAGGCCGGGTCTCCCTGTAGCCCCCAGCTGATCTGGAACTCACTATGTAGACCAGGCTGACCTTGAATTCACAGAAATCCTTCAGCCTCTGCCTCCCAAGTGCTGGGATTAAAGGCATGCACCACAACACCTGGGTTATTATGTATTTTTAAATTTTTGCAGATTCTCATTATGCAGCCCTGGCTGGTCTGGAACTTGTATAGACCATGCTGGCTTGAAATCACAGAGATTTACTTGCCTTTGCCTCCTGAGTGGTGGAATTATAGGCATGTGCTATCACAAATGACCTCTATCTATTTTTTAAATTGTTGTGTGTACTCTGTATGCTTGCCTTAGTTTATGTGCAGGAGATCCTGAAGGCCAGAATAGTGCATTAGACCTCTTGGAACTTGAGTGAAAGAATGTTAATCTGTCATGTGTGTTTTGGGGACTGAACCCAAGTGTTATACAAGAGCAGGGAGACTTAATTACTAAGCCATTTCTCCAGCCCTTTTTTCACATTTTTAAATACTTAAATTCCATTAAGATTCTGTGTTTTATCCCCATTGTGTTCATGTCACTGTTGTACCAATGAGCATATTTACTGGGGAAGTTGTTACTATAGTTACCAGTGTTCACATCTAGGTAAGATGGTTCATGACTTTTATCCCCCAGTATCATGTATACGCCTTCTGTCACTGTGGAAAGTAGCCAGCAGGGAGGAAGCTATGACCTCAGTTCCAAGTTGGTTTTTATTTTATTTATTTTTTGTGTTTTTGAGAGAGGTTCTCCCTGTAGCCTCAGGTGGCCTGGAACTCTGTAGACCAGGCTGCCCCAAACTCACAGAGATCTACCTGCCTCTGCCTCCTGAGTGCTGGGACTAAAGGTGTCCTCCACCACACCTGGCTACCAACTTGATTTTTGTATGTTGGGTAACCAAACAGCCTTGTCTTTAGCAGTAGGGGTTTATCATCAAGTTCTGGTGGGAAGCCAAGAACAATGGCAATGGCCTATATTGTTTGGCTAAATCCCTTCACACCCCCTACCCTGCTGCTTTAAAAAAGACCGAAAACCAAAATGGAACACTTAGCACTGTGCTTTTTGTGTGATGCCCTGTGGCTTCTGGAAGGATATTATTGCCCTCAGGTAGGATAACTCTAGTTAAATGGGGATTTAAATATATCCCCTTAGGAAATTTATGGAGTAGAGGTTTCCATGTATCAAGTATTCTTATTATCTCTTCCAACCTCCTGCCCTATCCTCCAGTTCCCCTCTCCATTTAGACTTACCCCTCCCTATTATACTTTATCCCTTCATACTATTTATGTTGAATCTCCCCCGCTTTAGCTCTTTTGTCTAACCCATCCTCCCACATTAGAGAGGATATGCAGCATTTGTTTTTTTCTGAGTTTGTGTCCCCTTGCTCAGTTTATGTTTCCAGGTCCATCAATTTACCTGCACAATTTATAATTTCATTTTTTCTTTACAGCTGAATAAAATTCTGTTGTGTATATTTACCACATTTTCATTATCCATTCATCAGTGGATGGACATCTGGGCTGATGCCATTTCCTAGCTATTGTGAATAAAGCAGCATTGAACATGGATATACAGGTACCTCTGTAGTATGATGTAGAGTCCTGTGGGTATATGCCCAGAAGTGGTATAGCTGGGTCATATGGTACTTTAATTTCTTGTTTTGTGAGAAACATATGGTCTGCTTTCCAAAGTGGCTGCAATAGTTTATCTCCTACCAACAGTATACTAGGATTGTCCTTTACCTATATCCAAGCTAGGATTTTTTGCCATTGGTACTCTTTGTGATAGCCATTCTGACTGGGATGAAATAGCTTCTTGAAGTAGTTTTAATCTGCATTGCCCTGATACCTTAAGTATTTCATAATCATTTACATTTCCTCCTCTGAGGGTTTCCCAGTTGGCCTGGAACTTGTGTGGACCAGGCTAGCCATGATCTTAATATGATCTCTCTCTTTACTTTCAAGTACTGGAATTAATGGCGTGCGCCACCATGCGTGACTCATAGCCCATTTCTAATTGAGCCTTTTTCATTTTTGGTTTGAGACAGGGTCTCACTATATAGCCCTGTCTGACCTGGAACTTGCTATGTAGGCCAGACTTTCCTGGAACTCACAGAGCTACTCCTTTCTCTGCCTTCTGAGCACTGGAATTACAGGCATGTGCCACCACACCTGTTTTCAATTAATTTTTTTTATTTTTAAAGTGTGTATGAATGTTTGAACATGTATGTGCACCATGTGCATGATTAGTGCTCACAGAGTGTTGGATATCTTGGAATGGGAATTACAGATATTTTTGAGCTGCCATGTGGAGGTGCTCAGAACCAAACCAGTGACCTGGAGAGGTAGCACGTGCTCTTACTAACTCCTGAGCAATCTTGCCAGCCCAGTTTTTTATTTTTAGTATTTTGAGTTCCTAGACCCTAATCCCCTGTCAGACATGTAGCTAGAAAAGCTTGTCTTCATTCTGTGGGCTGCCTCTTCACTTGAATTGGTAGTTTCCTTTGTTGGACAGAAGCCTTTCAATTTTGTGAGATTCCATTTTTCAATTGCTCAACTTATTCTTTATACTGTCAAAGTACTATTTATATATATATATATATATAGTTCTTATTTTTGTGAGATTTTATTTTTCTATTGCTCAACATATTCTTTATACTGTCAGAATTCTATGTATATATATATATATATATAGTTCCAGTTCTGTTTACTTACAAATTTCATGACTTTATTTTATTTTACAGCTGAAAGGAATTCCATTGTATGTTTACCACATTTTCAGTATCCATTCATCAGGTGATGGACTTTTAATCTGTTTTAATTTCCTAACTATTGTGACTACAGCAGCAATGGACATGGATGGACAAGTATCTTTGTAGTAGAATATAGTGTCCTTTAGTTAGACGCCCAGAAGTGGTATATCTGGGTCCATGTGGTACATT